CGTGGAGCCGCCTGGTCTGGCCTCGGGACAGACTTGGAGGCCTCCTCGGGCGGCATGTGGCTCCTTCTTGAAGGGAGCGGCTTTCTGGCTGACACATGCCGCGGTAGGGGGGGGGGCGCTCCCACGGTCAAGACGCTGAACCGTTTATGATGATGATAACGATGATGACGATGAGAATGATGATGATGACGACGATGATGGTGATGATGATGGAATTCAGGAAGGCCTCTGGCGTCAGCGCCGTTCCTCAGATCCAGGCCGAGGTGGCCCTATTCGTGGCCAGGGCCTATTGTGGCCAGGAGAGCTCGACCGCTGTTGTTCATGTTATTGGTCTGGCGTCCAGCATTATGGCAGCTCGGTGACTGCACACGGGGCGACTGGGTCTTTCATAATGCCCCGCGCAAAGAAGCACGTCGCGAGACATGCACGGCGATCTGCGCTGCCTTGCACTCCGAGGTGCCTCCCCCCAGGAGCCCACGGAAGTGGCGACAATTGCGCAGTCCGCAGCCCCCGAGGAAGCTGCGAGGTCTCGAATGATCCGCGTTGTTCTGTACTCCTTCGTGCTTCCCAGGAGCCCACGCAAGTGGCCACAGTTGCGCAGTTCCAGCCCCCAGCGGACCCGCGAGGTCTTGCCTGGATTTGCGCTGGCTTGCACTCCGCCGTGACTCCCAGAAGCCCACGGAAGTGGCGACAGTAGCGCAGGTCGCAGCCCCCGACGAATTTGCGAGGTCTCGCCTCGACGTGCGCTGCCTTGCACTCCGCCGTGCCACCCCAGTAGCCAACGAAAGTGGGGACAATTGCGCAGTTCGCGCCCCTGGACCTGCGCTGCCTTGCACTCCGCCGCCAACGAAAGTGGCGACGGTTGCGCAGTTCGCGCCTTCCGACGGGGCCGCGAGGTCCCGCCTGGACCTGCACTGCCTTGCACTCCGCCGTGCCCCCCCCCAGGAGCCAACGAAAATGGCGACGGTTGCGCAGTTCGCTCCTTCCGACGGGGCCGCGAGGTCTCGCCTGGATCTGCGCTGCCCTCGGCTCCGCCGTTCCTTCCAGGAGGCGGGCGGCACGCCTTGGGGGGGAGGTGAGGGAGAGCGGGCCTTTTGAGAAGTGCCCTAGGCCTTCCCCGAAGACACTAAATACCCGAGACGTACCGAACCCCTTCTCCACGCGAGGCCATTGTGTATGCGAACGCCCGTACAACAGAACACATCCAGCGCTCTGCACCATGTGATGAACAGCGCCGCGCGCTTGATGATGGGACGACGCCACGCGCCATGTGGGCACGCGCACTTTGTGCGCCTTGCATTCCGCCGTGCCTCCCAGGAGCCCATGAAAGTGGCAACAGTGGCGCAGTTTGCGACAGTTGCCGACGGACCCGCGAGGTCTCAAATGATCCGATCTACGTTGCCTTGCACTCCGCCGTGGCTCCCAGGAGCCCGCGAAAGTGGCGACAGTGGCGCAGTTCGCAGCTCCCGACGGAGCCGCGAGTTCTCAAATGATCCGCTTTGCTCTGCACTCCGCCGTGGCTCCCGGGAGCCCGCAGAAGTGGGAACAGTGGCGCAATCCGAGACAGTTGCCGACGGAGCCGCGAGCTCTCGCCTGGACAGGCGTTGCCTTGCACTCCGCCGTGGCTCCCAGGAGCCCACGACAGTGGCGACAGTCACGCAGATCGCAGCCCCCGAAGGAGCCGCGAGGTCTCTAGTGATCTGCACTGCCCTGCACTCCGCCGTGTCCCCCCAGGAGCCTACGGAAGTGGCGACAGTGGCGCTGCTCGCAGCCCCCGACGGACCCGCGAGGTCTCAAATGGTCGCAGCCGTGCCTCCCATGAGCCCACGAAATTGGCCACAGTCACGCAGCTCGCGGCCCCCGACGGAGCCGCTTTGCCGTGCACCCAGCCGTGCCTCCCAGGAGCCAACGGACATGGCGACGGTTGCGCAGTGCGAAGCCCCCGACGGAGCCGCGAGGTCTCAAATGATGTGTGTTGCCTTGCACTTCGCCGTGGCTCCCAGGAGCCCGCGGATGTGGCGACGGCTGCGCAGTTCGCAGCCCCCAGGAGGGCGCAGAGGATGCTGGAGGAGGCAGGCGGAGGGGGGGGTGGGGAAGATGCGCGAGTAGCGCTCCATCCCAAATGAGGACCCAACCAAGGCACGGTCGGGAAGCGGATCCCGGAAGGCCCGAGGGCTCCTGAAAAGCCCCGCCGCCTTCTGAGAGGGCCTGCCCCCTGGCACGTCCCCCCCTGGCCCCTGGCTCCGCCGCCGACCCCCGGGAGCCCACCGATGTGGCCACGGTCGCGCAGGTCGCGGCCCCGGATGGGGCCGCGAGGGGCTCGCCCGGAGCTGCGCTGCCCGGACCTCCAGCGTGCCTCCCGGGAGCCCGCGAACGCGGCAGCAGTTGCGCACGGGATGCAGGAGCAGGTAGGAGGAGGGTGATGATGGTGTGGCTGCTGCTGCTGATGATGAGGAGGAGGATGCTGATGGTGATGGTGATGGTCAGGATAAGGATGAGGATGAGGATGAGGATGAGGATGAGGATGATGATGATGATGATGATGATGATGATGATGATGATGATGATGATGATGATGATGATGATGATGATGATGATATGATGATGATGATGATGATGATGATGATGATGATGATGATGATGATGATGATGATGATGATGATGATGATGCTGATGCTGATGCTGATGCTGATGCTGCTGCTGCTGCTGCTGTTGCTGTTGCTGTTGCTGTTGCTGTTGCTGTTGCTGTTGCTGTTGCTGTTGCTGCTGCTTTTGCTGCTGCTGTTGCTGATGATGGTGATAGTTCTGGCGATGCCGATGGTGATGGAGATGGTGATGGTGATGGTGATGGTGATGGTGGTGCTGGTGGTGACGATGGTGATGATGAGTATGATGATAATGGTGTAGCTGCTGCTGCTGCTGCTGCTGCCGCTGCTGATGATGATGATGACGATGATGATGATAATGGTGGTGATGGTGATGGTGATGATGATGGTGATGGTGGTGATGGTGATGATGAGGAGGAGGAGGAGAAGGAGGAGGAGAAGGAGAAGGAGACGCGCGAGTAGTGCTTCAGTCAAAACGAGAACCCAACACATATTGATAATAAATCAACTATCAGGCAGCCGGCATGCAATCTAACACTCCTCAGCGTGCCCTGGGCCCGGTGGCGGATCCGTTCAAGCCTCCGAAGGCCCTGGCCCGCATCGGCTGGCATGCGCCTTGCCATCCGCCTCTGTCTTCCTTCTCCTGACCTGCTTTCCCCGTCCCTTCTCTTCGCGATCGCCGTTCTGCCATGTACCCGTTCGGGCTCGCGGGCTGCGAGCGCGCGCGCGCCAGGGTCTGCAGACGGCGCGCGGGAATGCCCTGGAAGCCCCCAGAGGCCCGAAGGGAGCCGAAAGACCAGCCACCCAGTTTTGGTCCTCGAACCTCGACGGGCTGCGAGGGCCGCCGGGCCAGAAGTATCTGAGTCTGCGGGCTGCCGCCTGCGACGGGGGGGAGCTGCTCGACGGGCTGTGTCATTGTCTTTTGAAGTCTTCGTGCGTCGATCCAGGGAGGTTGGGTCAGGCCACCGACCCATCCGACCCTTCGTTCGGTGCTTCACGTCAGGGAAGTCGCGCCGTCTGGCCGCACTGCCTATGGCACTATGGCTGCTACCCTCCCGTCGCCCTTCCGGTTGATCCAGAAGGCGACTGTACTCCAGTTGGTCAGGTCGCTGGTGGTGGCGTAGTTAGCGATGTCGATGGAGAGGGTGTAAGTCTGGGTGGTGTGTGGCGGTTGGAAGTGTTCTATCCATTCCTGGAGGTCTCCCTTCCGCCAGCGTCATGGCGCCAACATCGCAGAGCGGATTTCGTTCGGAAAACAATAGGATAGGCCCAGAATGAATGTCCTGGAAAATTTCGTTCCGGATTTCGAAGTTAAGTTCGTGCGGATTTGTTTGGGTCGGGAATGAAGACTACAAGAAGTCCACGTGGAATTAATTTCGTTGTTTCGCTCGCTGTTTCGGGGTCTTGCACCGTAGAAAAATCCACGCAAAAATCCGCTGCAGCACGTCTGCAAGGTCAGATCAGGCTGCTATAGAGGTGCTGTGCGAATGTCGTTGGACCTCCAGTAGGCCTTGGTATTGTTGGGTTGGGATTAGGGTCGACTGCTTGTAAATCCACTGGTGGTACATTGTCGTAGGCCACATGTCTGTCCTCGTGGTGTGTCGGCGGTACGACCGTATTAAAGCTCGGTGCTTGGGCGCAGTCGGGTGGTCTGCAAGTATTGATGTAGGTCCATTGGGCGACACGCATGGCATCGCTGTTCTCCTCGGTACTGTCGCCGTTGAAAATTAGCACAGCTGCCATCCAAGGAGAGAGTAGTAGGCGTTCTTCTTCACGAAGATCGTTCAGCACTGGTAGCACGTCAGGTTGGTCTTTAGCGGTGGCAGTGGCATGCTTGTGATTGGCAGCATATCAGCAGCGTTCTGGACCGATTACAGTTCTCTGCACCATCGTTATTGATGCGCTTTATCTCGTTGTCGTCGTAAGCAGCGTGACACCACTGTTTTGACTGTTTATGTTACTATTATGTCTGACTCATCACGTACAGCTCACATCATTTCTCGTGGGCCAGTTGTCGATGTCGTTTGCTCGTCATGGCCGAGGTTCTCGTAGAGCCATTCCATGCTTTGGACGACGCTGTCTGTCCAGTTGGCGTCGTGGTGGCGATCTTCGTCGAGTAGTCTAAGCAGGACCGTGCGTCCGTGCAAAAGTAGGCGTGACAGGTAACGGAGCATATACCCATCCTCCTCCTCCTCCTCCTCCTCCTCCTCCTCCTCCTCCTCCTCCTCCTCCTCCTCCTTGGGCACGCTCGACTTCCTCCTCCTCCTCCTCGTCTCCATCCTTCCCCTTCCAGTTTCCCGCCTCGTCCTCCACGGCCTCATCCTCACCGTCCTCCTCCGCAACGCTTCCGGCTCCAGGCGCAGTGCCGCTGCTCCCGCGCCCGGGCCTCCCGCCATGCTCGGGCCCTGCCTCGCCTGCGGCAGGGCCAGCGAGGCGCTGTGCTCGCGATGCCGCGCGGCCGCCTACTGCGGCCCGGGGTGCCAGCGTGCCGACTGGAAGCGGCACAGGCCTCGGAGGATGGAAGTGTACTTGCTCTGGGTTCCTAGTGAGCGTAAGGGGGGAGGAGGAGGAGGAGGAGGAGGAGGAGGAGGAGGAGGAGGAGGAGGAGGAGGAGGAGGAGGAGGAGGAAGAAGAAGAAGCGTGGGGGGGGTACCCCCCTCGACGGGGGTCAACCTCGCCTCGTCGTCGCGCCGCGACGGGGCTCGGAGCGCCTTCGGCGCGCGGTGGCTACCCGCGACGGGGGTCGTTGTGGGGCTGTCGGCGGGGGTGACCCCCCCACCCGACGCTTCCACCCGTCGGGTGATAAGATGGTTGGGGGGTGGGGAGGGGGAGAGAACCAACTGCAGGCAAGTGCGATGGGTGTGATGATGTCAATGCCTGGTGGCGCGCCCTCAAGTCAGCGACGACGCGTGAGGACGACGATGTTGCGCTGCGATGCAATGTCAACATCGTCTACGCTTTCGATATCACTCGAACGATCTCACTTTCGACCTCATGGCCAGTCTTGGTACAAATATACTCAGGGATCGATCCTCTTGTGCTCGCCCCAGGGGAGATCGCCTGTCCCTGCGAGATCTGCACGACCCAGGGGACGTCGCCTCCCGGCGCATCCGACGGCGCGAGCACAACCAATGTCAAACTCACGATCCATCCCATTCGTAGCGATCTCAGAATGGGCCTCACTATCGACTTCACTATCGGTACTGAGGCGTGACACCCCCTGGCCACCGCCCGCCTGCCGCCGAAAGAAAACCGACGGGACACCAACGAGAGCCCAACGGGACACCAGAGGACACCACGGCGGGACTCCCTGGGCCACCGCGCGCCCACCGAGGGCGGAGGGGCGGTTCATTGCATCCGAATCGCCCTAGCGACGGCGGGGGTCATTCCTCTCGCGCGCCCACGCAGCTTCGCTTCGCCCGCACGCGCGACACGAACACGAAACCGAAACCGATTTCCCGGGTGGGGGCTCCCCGTTCCTTTGCAAGCTCACCCCCCAACCTCCGACCGATAAAGCTACCTTTGCCTCGTGTTCGCCTTCGTGGGCCTCCTAGGCGGCCATCGTCGCCACGGCTGGACTCGCCTCGAAATCCTGGTCAGAACCTCCCAGGGGAGAGGCCCGTGCAGTAGCGGTATCCGTACCTTCTGGTTTCAAGGCCGCTCTGCACCGGGGCGCCAGCCCGAGCCGTGGCGTCTTCGGGCGCATTTGGCGACGGACGCGCCACCAGCGTGGAGGAGGACCGGCTGCCTGCCGCAGACCTGCCTCCGCCAGTGCCAGAGCAGCTGCCGAATGCCGCGGCCCACGGCGGCGACGGGGCCGCGGCCGCGGCCGCGAGGCTATCGGGCGAGGGCCGGTACGCAGAGGCGGCGGCCAAGCTGCACGAGGCCATCCAGGCGGAGGGGGACCCTGCGCGCAGCCTGCAGAGCTGGGGGAACAAACAACGACAGTAGCATGAAAACTGATGGGTGCGCGCGGAATCCTCCGGTCGGCGCTGGGGTCCCCTGGCGGCGCCTCCAGAGCCGCCCGTGCCGCGCTCCGCGCGCCGGGGAGCGGGGTCCAGCGCCGATCAGAGGAGTCCGCGCGAGCCTCCGAGTTCTTATGCTCATGCGATTTTTTTTCCCCTGAGAGCCGCGCGAACCTGGGGTGCACCTTCAACAGGCTCATGCAGTAGCGAGGCGTCCCTGCCTGCCTGTAGGCCCATCAAAGAATGATCTAACTCTAGGCCTCCTAGATGGGGTCGGAGCAGATGGGGTCGGAGGATCGCGCCGCATTTCCGATGCATCGACGATGCGGCTCGATGTGGAGCCGGTGTTTCCCCACGCAGACGTCGCCAATGCATCGCCGACGTCGCCGATGCATCGCCGGTGCATCGCCGATTCATCACCAATGTATCGGCGATGCGTCGCGATCCTCCGACCCCATCTACTCGGACCCCATCTAGGAGGCCTCTACTAACAGCTGGTTGCACGATCTGTTATTGGAACAAACTGTTCTCAGAGCATGTCTTTTTCTGAGGCCGTCTTGGTTTCATGTCTCGGCCTTCGGTTCTAAGCACACTGGTTGAGGTTATAAGAGCATTTTCTGTTTTAGAGCACATCGTGATACCCCCAAATTTCAATGCTGATGCCGAAACACGTGACTTCAAATTTCCCGATGGCGTCCGCGCACCGCGCCGCGCGCGCAACTGAGCATTGAAATCGGGGGCGAGGGGAGGTCGGCAAGCCTTGCGTCAAGTTTCGCGGGGCCTGGCCGCTATAGCTGCTCCCTCCCTGCTCGCTCCGACCGGCAGCGCTCTTGACCACCTGTGCGGTTGGCGAGGACGTGCCCGTGCCTCGCCAATGAAGCGGAGCTTTCGATTATCCCTGAGATCCGACGTTGCAAACAAGCTGCAACATCGCAAGAAATCACCACCAGAGCCCCGGACCCCATCTTCCTGCGTCATTCTTCGAGCCGGATTGATCTGTGAACGTCCCGAGGCCCGAATTGGAGCGGAAGCGCCCGGCGCGAAACGATTGCAACGCCAGGATCACAGGGACTATCGCACGGAAAAGATGGCGCGACAGGCCTAACACATTGCATGGTGGGCCCACAGGAATGCCGGGCCGGCCTCTGCTCCACAGGCTCGGCCGCCACGCCGAGGCGGCGCTCCTCCTCGAGGACGCGCTGGCGCGCCTGCCGCGGGCCGCCCCGGCGGGCGCGGCATGGCGGAGCCTCGCGGGGCTGGAGGTGGCGATCCGCGTGAACCTGGCATGTGCGCTGCGGGCGCGCCAGGGCGCAATTCCTCCCAGACCTCCTCGCGCTGTGAAGACACGACGGGAAGGTTTTTCACTGTTTTCGGTCTCCCGGGGCCCTCGCCGGGCTCCGGGACCGTCCAAGAACGACTCGGGATGAAACACCGGTCCCGGGGAAGGGTTCCAGACCTGGGTCGACGTTGCGAGCAAAAACACGACGTAGGGGGTCTGGGCTGAGAGGCTAGATTCATGATGGCCCCGGTTCGGTTCGGTTCGGTCCGGTTCGGCGCGCCCCCGTGTCGGTTCGTCTAGTCCAGTTTAGTTCGCCGTCCGGTTCGGTCCAGCCGGTCCGGTTCGAGTCAAATTGGCCGGTTTGGTTCGGCCGGTCCGGTTCGGCCGGTTCTGTTCGGCCGAGGGTTTCCGATTCGGCCGGTTCGGTTCCAGGCCTCCCAGATGGGGTCCGAGTCGAGGGGGTCGGAGGATCGCGCCGCATCGCCGGGGCATCGCAGATGCGGCTCGATGTCGACTCCATCTACTCCGACCCCCTCTGGGAGGCCTCTTTTGACTCGGCCAGGGGGGCGCGAGCTCAGCTGAGTTTGAGCGTTTTCGTGGACCGTTTTCGTTCTAACTTCGTTTTGCAACAAAGGTGGAACGAAGGTAAAGCTAGGGAAAAATATCCCAGAGCGACCCTACCTACCCTACCTAGGAGTTGGAGCCCCGAGGAGAGCAATATTAGTAGTAACGGTAAACGCCGGCCTCCTCCTTCTCCTCATAGTCGCAGTTGTAGCAGTAGCGGTAGTAGTAGTAGTAGTAGTAGTAGTAGTAGTAGTAGTAGTAGTCGTCGTAGTCGTAGTCGTAGTAGTAGTAGTAGTAGTAGTAGTAGTAGTAGTAGTAGTAGTAGTAGTAGTAGTAGTAGTAGTAGTGGTAGTAGTAGTAGTAGTGTTTGTAGTAGTAGTAGTAGTAGTAGTAGTAGTAGTAGTAGTAGTAGTAGTAGTAGTAGTAGTAGTAGTAGTAGTAGTAGTACGTTATGCTATGATATGCTATGCTATGATATGGTATGCTTTGCTATGCTATGTTGCGCTATGTTATGCTAAGCTAAGATATGGTAGGATATACTATGATACGCTGCGTTATGCTATGGTATGCTATGATATGCTATGCTATGCTATGCTATGCTATGCTGCGCTATGATATGCTGCGCGATGATATGATATGATATGTTATGAGATGCTACGATACGATATGCTATGCTATGCTATGCTAATGCTGCGCTAAGCTGGGCTAAGCTGAGCTAAACTAAGCTAGGCTAAGCTAAGCTAAGCTACAGCTACGCGAAGCTAAGATGAAGCTAAGCTAAGCTAAGCTAAGCTAAGCTAAGCTAAACTGAGATAAGCAACGCTAAGCTAAGGGGACGTAACTGGGGGAACCGCGGGGCGGATGCCGGGGGAACCGCCCGGGGCGGGCCCCACTGCCCGGCCCCTTTAAGCTACAGAGTAAGAACCCTTCTAGGCAGAGCCTAGGTAGGGAACAAAAACAAAACTAAAACGAACACATTGTTTAGCTCGAGCCCTGGTGATTCGGCATCGGCGCTGGCGTGTCCTGTGGTCGACAGCCGGCTCAGTACCCTTGAATTCCGCTCAGCCCGGGCGCAACCTGGGCTTAGGCTACAGTCGGGAACTTTGGTTAGCGTGTCGATCCGCGGGTTCTGGCCAACCACGGTTCGGCGCGACACGCTATCCACTTCGCGGTCCCTAGGCGTCCACGTGTCGAGCTTTTTCCAGCCTCCCGCCCCGCGGAGCGGAGCGACACGCTGTCTGCTTGCAAGGCGCAGCAGATCGCCGTGGCCGCCGCCGCGACATGCTGAGCGAAAGCTCTCGGCCGCAATCTGGCTCCCCAGACCCCCAACGTCGTGATTTTTCACGAAATCGCCCCCCAGAGGTCTGGACCCCTTCCTGGGGACCGGCTTCTCATCCAGAGTCGTTTTTTTGGGAGGGTCCCTGGTCCAGGCGAGGGCCCCTGGAGGCTGAAAATAGTGGCAAACCTCCCGTCGTGATTACCTAACAGCGAAGACTGATAGGTTTCCAGTAGGGTCAAAAGAGAGCATCACCCCAGGGGGGTCTGGGCGCGATCCGGGGGAAGATGCCGGGGGGATGCCGGGGAATTCGTTTTCACCAAACAGTAACGCACTTCGTGGTCTTCGAGTTCCCAGAACTCCATTCCTGGGCATGATTGTAAATGCCCGGAACCAACTGTAGGCCACTTCGTGTTCTTCGTGTTCCCAGAACACAATCCCGGGCCACATTTTGAATGCCTGCAGCCAACTGTAGGCCACTTCGTGTTTTTCGTGTTCCCAGAACACCATTCCCGGGCCACATTTTGAATGCCTGGGGCCAACTGTAGGCCATTTCGTGTTCTTCGTGTTCCCAGAACACAATTCCCGGGCCACATTTTGAATGCCCGGAGCCAACTGTAGGCCACTTCGTGTTTTTCGTGTTCCCAGAACACCATTCCCTGGCCACATTTTGAATGCCCGGAGCCAACTGTAGGCCACTTCGTGTTCTTCGTGTTCCCAGAACACCCCTCCCGGGCCACATTTTCAATGCCTGGAGCCAAATGTAGACCACTTCGTGTTCTTCGTGTTCCCAGAACACCATCCCCGGGCCACATTTTGAATGCCCGGAGCCAACTGTGGGCCACTTCGTGATCTTCGTGCTCCCAGAACACAAGTCCTGTGCCATATTTTGAATGCCCGAGCTGAGGCATGCTGAGGCCGAGGCAGGCTGAGGCCGAGGCAGGCTGAGGCTGAGGCTGAGGCACGCCGAGGCAGGCTGAGGCTCAGGCTCAGGCTCAGGCTCAGGCTGAGGCAGGCTGAGGCTGAGGCTGACGCAGCCTGAGGCCGAGGCCGAGGCAGGCTGAGGCTGAGGCAGGCTGAGACTGAGGCAAGCCGAGGCAGGCTGAGGCTGAGGCTGAGGCTGATGCAGGCTGAGGCGGAGAGGCCGACGCTGAGGCTGAGGCAGGCTGAGGCTGAGGCTGAGGCCGAGTGAGGCTGAGACTGAGGCAAGCCGAGGCAGGCTGAGGCTGAGGCTGAACCTGAGGCAGGCTGAGGCTGAGGCTGATACTGTGGCTGAGGCTGAGGCAAGCTGCGGCTGAGGCAGGCTGAGGCTGAGGCTGATGCAGGCTGAGGTTGAGGCAGGCTGAGGCTGAGGCTGAGGCAGGCTGAGGCTCAGGCAGGCTGAGGCTCAGGCTGAGGCCGAGGCAGACTGAGGCTGAGGCCGAGGCGAGCCGAGGCAGGCTGAGGCTGAGGCTGAGGCTGAGGCTAATGCTGAGGCAGGCTGAGGCTGAGGCAGGCTGAGGCTGAGGCAGGCTGAGGCTGAGGCAGGCTGAGGCTGAGGCAGAGGCAGGCTCAGGCCGAGACAAGCTGAGGCTGAGGCTGAGGCTGAGGCTGAGGCTGAGGCTAAGGATGAGGCCGAGGCAGGCCGAAGCTGAGACAAGGTGAGGCTGAATGGGGGGGGAAGGGGGGGGAAGGGAGGAGGGGAGGCTGAGGCAGGCTGAGGCCGAGGCAGGCTGAGGCCGAGGCAGGCTGAGGCCGAGGCAGGCTGAGGCTGAGGCTGAGGCAAGCAGAGGCAGGCTGAGGCTGAGGCTGAGGCTGAGGCTGAGGCTGAGGCTGAGGCTGAGGCTGAGGCTGAGGCAGGCTGAGGCTGAGGCTGACGCAGGCTGAGGCCGAGGCAGGCTGAGGCTGAGGCTGAGGCAGGCTGAGGCTGAGGCCGAGGCAGACTGAGGCTGAGGCTGAGGCAAGCCGAGGCAGGCTGAGGCTGAGGCTGAAACTGAGGCAGGCTGAGGCATCCGTAGGAATCCATAGGAATCCTTAGGAATCCCTAGAAATCCTTAGGAATCCGTAGGCATCCTTAGGAATCCGTAGGCATAGTTAAGCATCCTCAGGAATCCTTGGGAGTCCTTAGGATTCCCCAGGAATCTTTAGGAATCCCTAGGAATCAGGATTCCTAAGGATTCCTAAGGTTTCCTAAGGATTCCTATGGATTCCTAAGGATGCCTAAGGATGCCTTAGGAATCCCTAGGAATCCTTAGGATTCCATTGGATCCTAAGGCCGTTGCCACTGCGACTGTCATTGCGAATGCGACTGCGACTGCGAGAACAGCAGAATGCTACAACTGGATTCTCACCTGAATCGTAAGGGGAATGCTTCCAGATATGCTTATACACATCGCTGTTAGGTTGCTTTGCCGGGAAAGAAAATCATGACGCGAGGAGGCCTGTCTGGGTCGACCTGGCCCCCTGACCGGGCTCTCTCTCTCGTGGCCCTCAATCGTTCCCGCGACGGCCTCCCAGACGTCGCCTCCTGCAAGGTGCGCGACCCGCGCGCCGCGGCCGTCCACCTGGCCGCCGCGCTCGCGCTGGACCCGGGCTGCAGCGAGGCGCCGCCGCCGCCGACGACGACGCCGACGCGACGACGACGCCGACAACGACGACGACGACGGTGACGACGACGACGACGACGCCGACGACGACGACGAAGACGACGACGACGACGACGGTGACGACGACGACGACGACGCCGACGACGACGACGAAGACGACGACGACGACGACGACCACGACGACGACGACGACGACGACGACAACGACGATGTCGACGAGGCGCGCCTCCGCATGGCCGAGCTGTCGGCGGACGCCGGCGACGCGGAGGGCGCTCTGGCGCGGCTCGCCCCGGCGCTGGCGGCGGGGGGCGACGACCTGGGCTGCCTGGGCCTCGCGTGCCGCTGCTTGGAGGACCGGTGCGATCGAAGTGGGCACGGAAGAAACGGGGCCCCCAAACGGGGTGGTGACCACACGGTGCGGTGAGTCGGTGGGGATTCGGGGTCACCGCACGGTTTTGGGATTCGAGCGTTCTCCGAGGACGTCTTGGGCGATTGGGGCATCCGAGGTCCCAAAACCGTGCGTTGACGGACCGTGTGGTGAGGTCTTGGGGGATTTCGAGGTCACCGCACGGTCTGTCACCGCATCGCTTCGGGACTTTAAAGGGACGAAGCCTCAGATCCCGGCGTCGCATTTTTTTCACCACGAGCGTTTTCGCCCAACGACACCCTCACAGATCGATCCGGTTCTAAGAACTGCGCAGCAAGCTTGGGTCTAGGGCTCGTGTCGTGATTTTTGACGGTGATGCGTGTTTGAAATTACGAGGTCTTCGGCCTCTGGAGACCCTTACGGGGCCTCGGGACCGTCAGAACCAAAACGACTCGGGGTGAAAAAATGATCCCCGGGAATGAGTGGGTCGAGAATTGTGGGGGTCGACATCATAAGAAAATAATGATGTCGGGGGTCTGGGAATGGGGGCGAAGGCCAACAACAATCCCTGCCCACATGGGACAGGGCTCGATGTCGGTGCCGCCGCGGGCGCTGTCCAGTCGAGATGGGAGGCCGCCTGCCCAACAGCGGCCGCAACCGGGTTTAGCACAACTGCTGCTGCTGCTGCTGCTGCTGCTGCTGCTGCTGCTGTGCAGTGTGCCCATGCTTTCCATACTCATGCTGGACGTTCAGAGAGGACTTGGGCAGGCACGAGGAGGCCATGCGGATGTGCGAGCGCGTTTGCCGCGCGGACGTCGCCTCCACCTACGCCGCCCTGAGGGAGGTGTTCCGCTGCAGGGCGGGGGACGTCTTCGTGGCCACCTACCCGCGCTGTGGCACCACCTGGATGGTGCAGGTGTGCACCTGCGTGCTGCACGGCGCGGAGGCAGACCGCACCCGGCACGCCGTCTTCCTGGAGGGCGCCATCGCGGCCTCCGCCTCGTCGCTCTGGACGGTAGAGGGCCTGGCCGCTCCAAGGATCATCAAGACGCACGCGCCCGCAGACTCTCACGCGGGGCTGCGGCGGCGAACCGTCGACGTGCTCCAGGACCACGGAAAGGTCATTTACGTGGTGCGCAATCCGAAGGACACGCTGGTATCTCGAGGAAGGAAAAACTGCGTAAACGTGAATTTCTGGAGCTACGCCCGGATGTCTCAGATAGGCGTTGGGCCCCCCTTGGTGGCGCCTCCGGCGCCGCCCCAGGCGCGCTCCTCGCGCCAGGGAGGGGGGTCCAGCGCCGATCCGAGAAGTCGGCGCAGAGCACCGAATATTCATGATCCTGCCGCTGTTCCGCCCTCCGAGTCGCTGCGGCATCACCACAGCAGCCACCCGGGCATCCGCTTCGAGGGCAGCTGGGACGACTGGGTGGACGGGTGGCTCCGAGGCGAGCGGTCCATGGAGTACGGCGGCACGTACTTCGACCACGTCCGCGGCTGGTGGCATCTGCACAGGCGGCACCCATCGGCGGCGCGCCGATGGCCGCGGCAGAGGGGGCGGGCCTTCTCGGAAGGCCCGGCAGGCAGCTGGCTTCCCGAGGGGGCTCGAAGAGCACAACAAATTGCACAAGCAGGAGCGGACGGAACTCCGCGCGGATGTCTTGGATCGGCGTTGGGCCCCCCTGGCGGCGCCTCCGGCGCCGCCCTTGGCGCGCTCCGCGCGCCAGGAAGGGGGGCCCAGCGCCGATCCAAGAAATCCGCGCGGACTCATGGAAGGTTGTGTTGATGCGTTTGTTCTGTTCCTCTGGGAGGAGGAGGAGGAGGAGGAGGAGGAGGAGGAGGAGGAGAGGAAGAGGAAGAGGAAGAGGAAGAGGAAGAGGAAGAGGAAGAGAGGAGGAGGAGGTGAGGAGAAGATGAGGAGGAGGAGGGGGAGGAGGAGGAGAGGGGGAGGACGAAGAGGGGAGGAGGAGGAGGAGGAGGAGGACGAGGAGGAGGAGAGGAGGAGGAGGAGGAGGAGGAGGAGGAGGGGGAGGAGGAGGAGGAGGAGGACGAGGAGGGGGAGGAGGAGGAGGAGGAGGAGGAGGAGGAGGAGGAGGAGGAGGAGGAGGAGGAGGAGGAGGAGGAGGGGGAGGAGAAGGAGAGAGGCCCTCTGGGCCTTCTCCGAAGCCTCGCCGCTTGTAACGAGAAGGCCTGCCCCCCCCCCCGTCGGGCGCTTGGTGGCTTCGGGTGGGTCGTATAACTCGGTTCTGCCGTGGCCGTTCGGGGCGCTCAGGGCGCCCCCTGAACGCTCTCCCTCGGCGAGGGCGCCCTTTGAACGCTTGGTGGCTTTGGGGGGGTCGTATAACTCGGCTCTGCCGTGGCCGCTCGGAGCGCTCAGGGCGCCCCCGGAACGCTCTCCCTCGGCTCTGCCGTGGCCGTTCGGGACATCCAGGGCGCCCCCAGAGAACACCATCGTCGAGGCGAGGCGAGGCGCAGCCGCCGGAAGGCATCCCAAGGCGGGAGAGCCGAGGAGAATACACGAAAACGTCGTACAACGTATTCACAAAACAACAACAACAACAACAACAACAACAACAACAACAACAACAACCACAACAACAACAACAACAACAACAACAACAACACCAACAACAACAACAACAACAACAACAGCAGCAGCAGCAGCAACAACAACCACAACCACAACCACAACCACAACCACAACCACAGCCACAACAACAACAGCAACAACAACAACAACATCAACATCAACAGCAACGGCAACAGCAACAGCAACAGCAACAGCAGCAACAACAACAACAGCAACAATAAACAAAAACAAACGCTCTCGTCGAGGCGAGGCGTGGCAGCTGGAAGGCATTCCCAGGCGGGAAAACCGAGGAGAACTTACAACAACGCCGTACAAATTACGGGGGGAGAAGGGAAACAACTATCCCGGCAAAGCAACCTAACAGCGATGTGTAGAAGCATATCTGGAAGCATTCCCCTTAAGATTTAGGTGAGAATCCAGTTGTAGAAGTCTGCTGTTCTCGCAGTCGCAGCCTCAGCCTGCCTCGGCTTGCCTCGGCCTTAGCCTCAGCCTGCCTCGGCCTCAGCCTCAGCCTCAGCCTGCCTCAGCCTCAGCCTCAGCCTGCCTCAGCCTCAGCCTGCATCAGCCTCAGCCTCAGCCTGCCTCAGCCGCAGCTTGCCACAGCCTCAGCCTCAGCCTGCCTCAGCCTCAGCTTCAGCCTCAGCCTCAGCCTCAGCCTGCCTCCTCGGCTTGCCTCAGCCTCAGCCTCAGCCTGCCTCAGCCTCAGCCTCAGCCTGCCTCAGCCTCAGCCTCAGCCTCAGCCTCAGCCTGCCTCAGCCTCAGCGTCAGCCTCTCAGCCTCAGCCTGCATCAGCCTCAGCCTCATCCTCAGCCTGCCTCAGCCTCAGCCTCAGCCTCAGCCGCAACTTGCCTCAGCCTCAGCCACAGCCTCAGCCTCAGCCTCAGCCTGCCTCAGCTTCAGCCTCAGCTTCAGCCTCAGCCTCAGCCTGCCTCGGCTTGCCTCAGCCTCAGCCTCAGCCTGCCTCAGCCTCAGCCTCAGCCTCAGCCTGCCTCAGCCTCAGCGTCAGCCTCTCAGCCTCAGCCTGCATCAGCCTCAGCCTCATCCTCAGCCTGCCTCAGCCTCAGCCTCAGCCTGCCTCAGCCTCAGCCTGCCTCAGCCTTAGCCTCGCAGGTGGCTCCGGGCAATCGAAATGTAGCCTGGGAGTGGTGTTCTGGGACCACGAAGAACACTCAGTGGCCTACAGTTGGCTCCGGGCATTCAAAATGTGGCCCGGGAATGGTGTTCTGGGAACACGAAGAACCGAAGTGGCCTACAGTTGGCTCCGGGCATTCAAAAGCATGCCCAGGAATGGAGTCCTGGGAACTCGAAGACCACGAAGTGCGTTACTGTTTGCTTAAAACGAGTTCCCCGGCATCCCCCCGGCATCCTCCCCTTGATCGCGCCCAGACCCCCTTGGGGAGTCATGATGCTTTCTTTTGACCCTACTAGAAACCTATCAGTCTTCGCTGTTAGGTAAAAAAACTTGTCCCCTCTGTTTTCTTTTGTCTGCCCCCTCTGCCAACCCCCGCTGCTTGCCCCCCTGGGCCCGCCGCCGAACCCAGACAGAGTGCACCTCGTCTACTTCGAGGACATGAAGGCGGACCTCGCCAGCTCGGTGTCCGGCGTCGCGGCGTTCCTGGGGCGCGAGGTCGGCGCGGCTGAGCTCGCGGCGTCGGTCGACCGGTGCTCCTTCGAGAGGATGCGGGAGGGCTACCAGGTCCCCGAGGACATCTCGGCAGACGAAGTTTCGAGGCTCAAGGTTTCCGGATGCGTTCGTCGGATCTCGGCGGCTTTCTAGACTCGCGATGCTTTTCAGCGGCTGCGCCTTGCTGAGAGTGTCCCAGGGGTGCCCAGATCGTCCCGAACGGCGATCCGAATTTTTAACCGACAGCCAAAGCACAAGGATCAGGGTCGGAATCGAAGATCAGGGGCCAAGTCAGGGGGGGGGACAGGCTGACGAACGCGCCCGAAGAGCCTCGAGCCTCGAGACTTCGACGTCCTTCCCTTCGGATGCAACTCCTGGGAGGTCAAATTGTGATTTTGGCCTGGTCCGAAGTCCGGCTTAATCCTTCTGAATCCCGCTTAATCCGATTTAATCCCGGTTAATCCGGCTTAATCCCGCTTAATCCGAAGCCCACTCTGGCGTAACAGCCCCGCAATGGGGCTTCATCCTCTTTAATCTCTCCGACGAAAACCCCCCAGTAGTTCGCCTCCTACCCCCCCCAGACATTCGGCGTCTCTACTTTCAAGACACTGGCCCCCGACCTCTCGGCCACTTCCCCAGGATCGGCTCTTCGTGCCGAGTCGTTGTCTGACTGCCCCGAAGCCCAGTGAGGGCCCCGACAGGCCGAAGAGAATGAAAAACCTCCGTCTCGATTTTGTCGAGACGCCAGATGTCTGCCCCCCCCCCCCCCTCAGAGAGGACGCCAGGGGCAGGGTCAACGCAGCGCACTTCCGAGCCGGGGAGGCCGGCTCCTGGCGCCGGGCGCTGACCGCGGAGCAGGCCCGGCGGGTGGACGCAGAGACGCGGAGGCAGCTGGGCGTCGAGATGTCCCAGGGCCTGCGCATCTCGGAGGGGGGCCCCGTCCCAGAGGTTTCTCTGCTCCGAAAGAACTGGAGCGGCCGGGTTTGGGGCAGTTTTCGGCCTCAGGGGGGGCCCTCCAAGGGCCCTGCAGGACTGTCAAAGAGCGGCTCAGGATGAGAAGCCGGCCCTGGGGAAGCGAAGGTGTCCAGACCTCCAGGGGTCCACGCCTCCAGAAGCATGAAGCGCCAGATGCCTAGGGTCGAGAAGACGGCGGCCCTCACTGGCGCTGTTCGTCCCGCCATCTTCTCTGTGCGACAAAGCGCGGCGCGAGGCTCGGGGCGAGTTTGGGCCTCTGTAGGGGGGCCCTCGCCGCGTCGCGGGGCCGCCAAACGATGCGGCATGACAAAGTTTGCCCCTCTTGGGGCCCACGCTGTGAACATCCCCGACGTCGGAGCCCTGGGGGAGCGAGGCCACGGCGGCCCTCTCCCTGGCGCTTTTGTTCGTCCCGCCCTGGGCCTCTTGGAGACCCATCGCCTCCACGGCGGAATCCGCCCCGAAAAACACGCCGCCCGGAAGGGAGTCTGGCGTTTTGTCCAACGAAAAATACGCCGCCCCGAAAAACACGCCGCCCGGGACGGAGTGTGCGCGGAGTGAGGGACGGGCAGGGAAGGCGTTTCGTCCCCGACATCTTCCGATGTGATGTGTCCCATCCGCGGCCCCAGAGCTCCGAGTCCTTTCCCTGGGGGGGGGGGGGGGGGGGGGGCGTTTTGCGTCCCAGATCCGTGTTTGGATGGTCCCGCGGACGCAGTCATCCAGCGCTCCATTTTGTCCTACGTGTGGACCCCCGACCTCTCGGCCACTTCCCCAGTCGTTCTTGGACAGTCCCAAGGCCCGATGAGGGCCCAGAGAGGCCGAAGACGAGGGCAAACCTCCGTCTCGATTTTCTCGTGACGCCCGATGTCCGAGATCGGCGGGATTGAACAATCGCATCGCCGGAGAGCTCTAGGCCTCTTAAATGGGATCGGAGCAGATGGGGTCGGAGGATCGTGCCGCATCGCCGATGCATCGGCGATGCGTCGCCGAGGCGGCTCGATGTGGGGCCCACTTTTCTCCACGCCGACGTCGCTGATGCATCACCGGTGCATCGCCGGTGCATCGCCGATGCATCGCCGATGCGGCGCGATCCTCCGACCCCACCTGCTCCGACCCCATCCGGGAGGCCTCTGAGAGCCGGGGCCGGCCCTCCTCCGAGCCTCCACGACCTCGGCCCGCCGTAGCTCCCCGGGGCTCCGGGGCTGCCAGGCGCTCCTCCTGCTCCTCCTGCTCCTCCTGCTCCTCCTGCTCCTCCTGCTCCTCCTGCTCCTCCTGCCTCTCCTCCTCCTCGTCCTCCTCCCCTCCTCCTCTTCCTCCTCCTCCTCCTCCTCCGCCTCCTCTCCACGCCGCGCAGGGCCGGGGCCCCTGGGTCGGCGTGGAGGCGCCTCGGGGGGACAGCCGGGCGCCGAGGTGTCCCTCGGGGGCCCGGGGCCCCACGGTCTCGGCTTAACGTCGGGCCTGACCCTCTACAGGAGGAGTGTTCCAAAATAGGCAAAATGGACGATGTGTTTGCTATCTTTGCATATTTGGGGGGCATTTCTGGGGTATCTTTCATTTTCTGTCCCAAATCCGCATGTAGGGGGACATGCCCGACCGAAGTCTCGGCCCGCGCCGCAGCTCTGCTTAGCTCCCCGCGTCGGACCAGCCACGCACAAGAGTGGCATGTGGCCGGAGTGGCCTCTGGTGTGGGCACACATCAGGGGCGACACTAGGGGGGGGGATTGGCACAGGGGGCGGACGCATCGACCCCCAATCGCCCATCAATCGCCGACAGGGGCCCGATAGCCCCAACCTGCCCAGGAAGGTGCGGATTCACGACCAGAGGCCTATCGCCGATCTATCGGCGATGTATCGCCGATTCCAGGTCGATGCATTCCCCCCTATGCCAGTCCCCCCCGATCGTTGCCTTTCAACACAGGGGGTGGCCCCCAGCACTGGCATGCGCACTCGACTCTGGTGGCCCCGCCGCGGAGCCCGACAGCAGCGCACCAAAGGCCACCCCTGCCCAGGGCCACTCCTGCGTGCTCGTCGGGCGCGGGCTTGCCGGGCCTCGAGTTCGCCGTTGGAGCCAGCTTCAAGCAGTGGCGAAGCGTCCTGGCGTGCCTATAGGCCAACAATGTTCTAAGACCCTTTTGTGGCTTCCACGGAATGTTCTCAGAACATGTCTGGCTGAGACTGTCTTGTTTGAACACATCGGGTCTATGTCCTAAGAACATGTTTTGTTCTTAGAACAGTTCTGGGTTCTAAGAACATGCCGTGGTAGGCCTATAGGAATGCCAGGACGGTCGGTCCCTGCTCAACTCTTGCGTGCTCGTCGGACGCGGGCTTGCCTGGCCTCGAGTTCGCCGTCGGAGCCAGCTGGGGGTCTGAGCTGGCCCAGCTCTGGTTTTTTGGCCAGCACGGAGGGGTTCGAGGCTCTGGGTTCAAGAAGATTTTTTTTTTTTTTTCTCTCTCTCTCTCTCTCTCTCTCTCTCTCTCTTCCAGAGACCGTCGGGCCCCAGGAGCGTCAGAAACGGATAGGTGGAAAAACGAAAGCGGCTGGACCCAGGGAGGGGTCCGGGGACCGATTTGGAGCGGATGTGCCTTCATCCCCACCCTCTTGACTGATTGTCTCGGAGTCCCCAACCGGCTCAGACCCCTGGGACGCTTTCGCCGACGCTTCCTGACGGACGGTCCCAGCATGATTTGTGACGTCCCGCTTTCCACGGGATGCTTGTGGTGGCGGGGACTCGCCTCGAATTTCGGGCTGGGCCCGAAGAACGAAAATTTGCATAAATATGAATTGTCGACAGTCCGCGCAGATTTCTTGGATCAGTGCTGCTCCCCCCTTGCGGCGCCTCCTTCACCGCCCCTGGCGCGCTCCGCGCACCAGAGAGAGAAATCCGCGCGGATCATCGAAAGTTCATGTTTACAGTCGGGCCGCTGAAGAACGAACCCGTTTCGTTGGGGGGTGCTCATTGTTCCTTCATGTATGTAGCATGTATTCGACAGTCGGCCCAGATTAGTAGGTCGACCCTGCCAAATCAAGGGTGCCTTTGTGCCCTGTGTCTCGCGACCCCTCCTTCCTACATTCCTCTGGCAATGTGGCCCTCGGAAGGGTCTTGTGTCCTCTCGCGTGTCCTGTCCAATCGAGTCCGACTGTAGGTGTCCCTCATGCTTTCTACGGGAAACAGACGATGATCTCCTGGAGACGAGGGCCTCGCTCCTTCTCGGGGGTTCCCAGTGACAGCGTTTCGACTGCATGCAGCTGCTGATTCCTCTTATGGCTGTGGAAGCCGATTCATGGAGAGGAAGCATGCTGCCAAATGATTTCCAGGTGTCTAAAACAATGTTTCAAGCATGCTCCAAAGCTGTAAAAGCATGCTTGAATCGTCTTCAGAGCATGCTTGGCACATCATCGAACACACCTGTAATTCAATGTTCGGATTGTTAGCATGTCCAGTGCCAGGGCATCCGCACTCTTCTGGGCCCCCGTCAGACAGACCCGAGCCCCCGCAGCTCGAAGCCCGCGCCCCCCCGGCCGCGTGGAGCGGCCGCCGCAGCGCGGGCCCGCGGGCCGCCTCCGCCTCCGCGCAGCGACGTCGCCGGAGGCGCGCGGGCCCCCAACGCTTTTGGCAGGCGCCCCGCGGCCCCGGAGGGCAAGGTAAAACGACGCGAAGATCGGGACGAAATCGGATCGGGATAACTCGAAGTCTCTGAGGATCGGCGGGTTTGGAGGATGTCTTGGGCGCCGCGGCCGCTCCAGAGCGTTCCGGAACGCTCTGAGAGCGCTCCGGAACGCTCTGGAGCGATTTATCCCGATCGTAGCCCTGTTTTACAAGGGCGCCGCCTCGGAGGGGAAAAAGCACAGCAGAAGCAGAAACCTTGGAAGCTCCGCGCGGACTCCTCGGATCGGCGCGGGGCCCCCCGTGGCAGCGCTTCCAGCGCCACCCCACGTGGGGGGTTCCAGCGCAGAGCCAGAAGGCATGCGCACGGACTTCCGAGGGTTGATGTTTCTGCAGTTTGTTGTTCCTCTATTGCGGCGTGAGCGGCGAGAGGGGCATCTGTGGTCCTTCCGCTCCCGCGGCAGGGCCCGCACTTTTCATAAGAGCAGGCTATAAGTTCAGCCCTGAGGTTCGTTCGGGCCTGTCCCTCTACAGGAGGAACATGCAAAAACAGTCAAAAAATAGTAGGGGGACTATTTGTTAAGCATTTGTTGACCGTTCGGGGGCATTTTTCTATTTTTTTTTCGTCCAAAATCCCCGTGTAGGGGGACACGCCTGACCTAACCCTGAGGAAGAACGGAGGGGGCACCAGCATGAGCATGCTGACCGCCCGTTCGCCGCCGCTTTCACGGGCTGTGTGCGTAGGCAGCAGCGGAGGGGCACCACCCTGCGGCCAGTGGGAGTCTGCCCTTCTGGGGGGCAGCTGGCCGCCGACTTGCGAGGCGTGCGCGGGTGTCCCGCTGAAAAGAACCCAGGAGAGCAGGTGTTGGCACGACATGGGCGCTGGCCAAGAAATCTGTCGACTGCTCACTTTTGGGGCGCCCCAGAAGACCTCGAGGAACGAAGGAGCTGCCTTCTCGGCGGAAGCTGGCGGAAGGCCGGCGGAAGGCGGCGAAGGTAAAACGAGGCCGCCTCCGCCGGCGGAACCTGGCGGAAGGCCGGCGGAAGTCGAAATCAGCAGCCCAAAGATGCCGTTGTTGGGGGGGTTCGAGATTTCTTGAACTTGGTGCATTACCGATCTCAACCACTGTTAGCTGGCGACGCGTTTCGGACTCTAGGTCCTCTTCTGGGCCAAAAGGCTGCGGTGTCCCACGCGCGTGCCGTGCAGCGCGCGAGCAAGGCAGCAAGAGGTCGGCCCTGTGGTCGGTCTTGTGGTCGGCGTGCTTGTGGAGCTGCGCCAGTTGCAGCCAGGTCTGCGGCCCCAGCGAGGGGCGCCAGGCCCTCGCGCTTCCCCGCTCTGGCCCCTCCGAACGCCGCAGTCGTCTAACCTACCTGTAGATAAGTACCGACACACCTTACATAGATGCGCATCTGTATTTGCATAGATGTACAGAACTGTGTAGGTTGCGTTCAACAATTACATCGAGTCTTTTGAGTACACATTAAGATACATATAACCATAGCATATATATATATATGTCATATATATACATCACTGCATGCTCATGTGCTGGGACAACCTCCGGGCCCTGCTTCAAGCACGGGTGCTTTGACTAACTGTCCGCATTTTGGCCCCCTCACACTGTCAAGCAGAACGGTCTACAACACTTCGCGCACACACACACACACACACACACACACATTGCCCCCCGCCCCCGCAGATCGAAACACTGCCAATCATGATTGCGCACAAAAGCATGCACGTTTACCAGCGCGGACCCCAAACACTGGGTTCTTGCACTCTCGGTGTGCACCCTCTGCGCTGCAGTCAGTTTGCGCACGGCATCTGTACATGCAATGCGGGTACGAGGCGTGCGCGTGCGGCCACAGGGCGAAAGCCCAGTCACGCCAGCCAGCGCGCGGGCCCAGACGGGGCGGCACGAACGTGTACCAGGCGAAAACCCCTAACGCCAGGCATCGTACGGGGCGGGCTCCAGGCGGGCACCTGGCGAAAGACCAGAGATGCCAGCCAGCGCACCGAGCGGGCACGACGCGGGCACCAGACGTAAACACAGTAATTTCAGCCAGTGCGCAGGGCGGGCACCAGGCGGGCACCAGAATCTATGACTGGAAGTAAGACCCCCAGTGCATGCACTGCGTGGGTAGCTCTTGTAGCACATGTATCTATATGTTCAGGTGCATCCATGTGTGTATGTGTGCGTTGTGTGCCTTTGTGTGTCTGTGTGTGTGTGTGCCAGCATGGGCCCCAAACGGCAAGCTATTGCACTGTGGACGTGCAGGCTATGTGACGCAAGGTATGTGGTGCAAGCTACGCGGTGCAAGATATGTGGTGTGAGCTATGTGGTGCAAGCTGTGGTAAAAGCTACGTGGTGCAGTATATGCGCCCGCCCAGCGCACGAGGCGCCCTCGAGGCGCCAGCAGGTGGCCACGGGCGGGCATCAGGCGAACCCTCGGCACACACACAAACAAACAAACAAGCACACACACACACCAACACACACACACACCAACACACACACACACACAAGCGCGCACACACACACACACAACACACACACACAACACACACACACCAACACACACACACACACACACACACACCAACATACACAACACACACACACACACACACACACGCACGCACACACGCACGCACACACACACACACACGCACGCACGCACGCACACACACACACACACACACACAGATCGCGTCGCGAAAAAATTCAGGACGGAGGTTTTCCGCTAGTTTCAGCCCCAGGGGCCCTTCGCCGGGCCCCGGGGCCGTCAAAGAACGACTCGGGACGAAAGACCGGTCCCCAGGGAGAGGGTCGGGACTTCCAGGGACGCCGGCCTGAAAAGATGAGGACGGCGCATGGCTGGGGATGCAAATGATCCCCGCATCGGAGGCGCCGCTTCAGGACTGCCCCGTCGCGTTGCCGCGCAGCTTCGCCACCTCGCTCGGCCGGCCGCTGGAGGGGGGGAGCGGCTTCCTGCGGGGCCTTCGGGGGGTCCTCTCGGGGTCTCTCGGGGAGCTCTTGGGCGTTCTCGGGGCGCTCTTCGCCGGCCTGACGCCTTGGGAGGCCAACTCTGAAGGGGCCCCAGGACACACAAATATATACACACAAATAAACATATTCCCCAGATGTTCCTATATTTTCTGGGTTTTTGTCTTCCCTCCCACTTCCAATATTTTCCCATACTTTCTGGGAAGTCGACGATTAATTGTGTCTGTGTGTTTTTTCCCCTCCTGAATCTCGGGGGTCGCTCTGGGCCAGCCTGAGGCCTCTTGGGGTCGCGTTTAGCCCCGGAGGTCTCTGTCGACCATCTTAGGGCCGTCTTGGGGGCCTCCTTCGGCCACCGTGAGGCCCTCGGGGCTCGTCTTGAATTCCTCCTGGGGCCCCGTGTGCGGTGTTGAGGCCATCCTGGAAGCCTCTTTTGGCCTCTGGGGCAGTCATGGGGGTTCAGAAACTCGGGGCGGGCGAAAGGGGGGGATTGGGAAAGGGGGGGTTACAAAATTTGCTGCATTCCTCGATACATGGCCGCCTCCGGCGCTGGGAGGCGCCGGGAAAATCAGCTACGTGAGCTGATTCTCAAACCCCCCCTTTGCTATCCCCCCTTTCGCCCGACCCGAGAAACCCGAAGAGGCACCAAAGCTGAAATCTTGCAAAAATCTAGAGCAAGGCGAGGGTCCGTCTGGAGGCCTCTTGGGGCGTCGTGGGACTCCGCCTCGGGGCCAACGTGGCCGTCTTGAGTGCCATCTTGGACCAGCGCGGAGGCCATGTTGGGCCATGTTTGCAGACTGGGAGGCCATCTTGGCCGTCTTGGAGGGCACCCGGGGCCATCTTGAGGCGGACGGAGAGAGCGGGCTCCCTTGGGGGGGCCAGGGTCATTGGGAGGCCCCAGCCCGAACTCTCATGGTGGGACCACCTCTGGTGGCCTCGCCGATCAGCGCGAAGTCGCCCGAGCACGCGGCAAGCACAGGGCCGAGGCGCAGGACGTAGTCAACCCCGGGGGTTCACATCGTTACTCGGGGTGCTGTGCGAGCGAGAGCTTGATGAGGTAGGCGAAGAGCGCATGATGCCGTTCCCGCTTGGCCCGCGCCGCGGCGTGGTCCTTCTCGCCGGCAGCGTTTTCACACTTGCATCTCTGTTGTACGTGTTTGCGTACCTGTGCACGGGCATGTGTATGGTAACGTGTATGTGTATGTGTGTACGTGCATGTGCATGTGTACTTGTATGTGCACGTGCATGTGTACAAGTGTGTGCGTGCGTAAATGCTTGTTGCAAGGTTTGCTCAAGTCGGAATCAGATTGTTCGAATGCGGGCGAGTGAGCTCAATATGGCTACCATGGCTGAGAATCATGATGAGACCACGGGCATGCTGCCAGACGGGGACAGTGATGATTATTCAGACAGTATTATGAATGTGTCCTTCTGCCGGAATATTTCCGTTTCTGTGGCGGTATGTGCCGGCAGTGTTGCCGGCATTGCTGGCATCATGTATGTATTCAAACGCCTCGCGCATTCCGCTGGTCCATGCAGCGTCATCGTTGCAATTCGCTTGCGCCCTCGGTAGCGATTTGTAGTTCGCTTGGCGGCTGCAGGAAAGGCAGTCGTCCCCCCAGCCACTGTAAAGTCCCACCCTTATGGGAATACTTGGGGCAGCAAGAGGGAGAGGAGGACGAAAGGGAGGAGAAGGAGCACGAGGAGGACGAGAAGGGGGAGGCGTCGTGGGGACCTATTGGGGCCTCCTGGGGGGCCTCCTGGGGGCTTCTCGGGGGCTTCTTGGAGGCTGCTTGCGGACATCCTGGGGCCTCGCGGGGGCCTTTTGGAGCATCTTGGGAGCAGCTTGGTTTCGTTAGGGGCGCTATTGGCCCGTCTGACGCTTTCAGAGGGAGGCCGTCTGAGGGGCCCTTGGCTGTCCTGGGGCCCTCTGGGGGGCGTTTTGGGGCTGTCTGCGAGATCTCTTGTGGCCGCCTTGGGGCCCTCGTGGCTCGACTTGGGACTATCTTGAGGGCCCCTTGGGCCGTCATGAGGCCATATTGGAGGTCTCTGGGACTGTCTTTGGCCGTCGGAAGCCAAAAAGGCGAGAACTCGAATCTGCATGTCTATACATATTTATGTATGTATATGTATGATTATGCGTGGGTATATAGTTCGGTGTAAATGATATATATATATATATAGATATGGATTGATGGTTGGATGGATGGATGGATGGATGCATGCATGTATGTTTGTATGTATGTGTGTAGGTATGCCTGCCTGCCTGTCTGCATGCATGTATGTGTGTATGTAATGTACGTCTGTATGTCGGTCTGCCTGTATGTCTGTCTGTCTGTCTGTGTGTCTGTTTGTATGTGTGCACGTATGTATGTATGCATGTATGCATGTATGCATATGTGTATGTATGTGTGTGCAGGCATGCATACATGCATGCATGCATGTATGTATGTATGCATGCATGTATGTATATATGTGGGTGGATGTATGGATGTATGGGTGTGTGTATGTATGTATGTGTGTATGTGTGGTTGTGTATATATAGATGTGTATATATATATATATATATGGATGCGTGCATGTATGTGTGTATGCATGCATGCATGCATGCATGTGTGCATGCATGTGTGCATGTATGGTGTGTATGTATGTATGTATGTATGGATGTATGTATGTATGTATGTATGTATGTATGTGTGTATGTATGTATGTATGTATGTATGTATGTATGTATGTATGGATGGATGGATGGATGGATGGATGGATGTATGTATGTATGTATGTATGTATGTGTGTATGTGTGTGTCTGTATGTGTGTGTACGCATATACGCATGCGAGTGAAAACTTGCGTTTGTGTATAACTATAGATATGTGTAGGTGTATGTGTTTATATATGGCCATCCGCCCATCCCGCAACGCCTAGGTTGTAGGTCAGCGATCTCTCGGAAGCCTCTTGGCGGTGGTTTTGCGGGCGTCTTGCGGCGATTTGGGGGCCTTCGATATGGGCATCTTGGGGGGCTCCTTGGGGGCCTGCTGGCAGTCTTGGGGGCAATCTTTGGGCGGAAGGCTCGAAGTGTTCGTTCGTGTTCCCCCTCAAGGTCCTCTCTTTGTGTCCTCTTTGGGCCATCTTGGGGACTTCTTGGGCAGTTTGAGCGACCTCTTGGGGGCCTCTTGGAGCAATCGTGGGAGCCTCTTGGGCTGGATCCCGAAAAGCAGAGAACGCTAAAATCGCTCAAAGGCCTAAGGAAAATCAATATTTGGACATCTTGGGGCCCTCATGGAAGGGCTGTGGGGACTGTCTTGGGGCATATTGGGGGCCTCGTGGGCTGTTGTGTGGCAGTGCTGGGCATCTTGGAGCGCTCTTGCGCCGACCCAGGGCCCTCTTGGACCGTCTTGTGCGCCTCGTGGGGCTTTGGTGCCTCTATCTTGGCTCCGGCGGGGACACGCCCCAGCATGCGGGAACAAAAAAACCGGTATGCAGGAAGCCCTGGGAACTCTGGCAATTTGGGATCCGGGCCCTCGAGCACCAGCTACCTGTGGCAAGTCCCGCCACCATGTTTGGGCTGTGGGTATGAAACCTAGTGGACGTTCGTTGGGATCTCGTGGAGGGCCTCTCAGAGGCCTCTTGGAGGAAGTTTTGATGCCTCTTGGAGCCGTTTTGGGGGCCTCTTTTAGGCCTCTTGGGGGCCTCTCGGGGCGCCTCTTGGGGCCTTCTGGGGGCCTTCAAGGGGCCTCTTGGGGCGGAAGACTCGGATTTTCGGTTCGTGTTCCCTCTCTTGGGTCCCTTCTCTTGGGCCGTCTTGGGCGCCTCTTTGGCCGTCTTGGGGCCCTCTTGGAGGCTTCTTGGGCCGTTTCGGGGTGGTCTTGGGGGCCTCTTGCGTCGAAAAGCCGAACAGGCGAGAACGCTAAGATATTCCAGAGCGGGTGGGGAGCCCCTCAGAAGACTTCAGAAACCCTGCCAGGCAGCCGTCGGCATTCTTCCACGCTTCAACGTGCCTGAGGCACACTGGCGGATTCAATGATCAGGATTGAGGACGAAGGGCTCAAGGGACCTGGGGACACTCCAACTCGTGCCTCAAGGCACGTTGGCACGGTTCTGTTCTTACATCGTTCCCTCCCGTGGCGCCGTTTCCCACGCTGACAGCTGCCTCCGCTGAGGAAGTGATTAGAGCCGCAGGCTTCGGTAGAGCCGCAAGATAACCTAGACGCGCCTGGAAGTTGCCGCAGCCCGACGTCGCGACCACCGCATCCGCGATCGTGCCACAGCAGGGAGAGGACAGCGCCGAGGAGATCGATTCTGGTGCTGGCGACGCCCTGCGGCGCGGCGCCAGCGCCCCTGACGACGACGACGACGGGCCGTTTCAGCCGATGCATGTTGGAAGGCTCCGCGCTCACCTCCGTAGCTTCCAGCGCGTGGCCGCGCCAGCGCTCCTCGTCGATGAGAGTCTCAAGGGCGCGGCCGTTCGCCCCGAGGCCATCCTCGCCATTCGCAAGGCAACCCTGCGGCGTTCGCATGGAAGCGGTGCGAGGAATCAGAGCGTGAATTACCTACCCCGCTTTCGCTTCCAGGCAAAACCAAGTCATACCACGCGCCTCCTCGTCAAGCGGCCTGACCAGTACAGGCTGCAATTTGGCATCGTTTGGTATCTCTTGGAAGCGAGGGTGGTCAAAAGCGAGGTAGGTTCGTTTGCCCCCTAAGGAAGGAGGGCTCCCGGAGAAGCTCAAGGTTCGAGGTTCTGGTCCGACCAGAGCCTGCCTGCAGCTGCTTGCCCAAGTGCTGCCTCGCGAGCAGCCCACGCTGCCCGCTCTGCGGCGACCCCGAGGGGTCGAGACGGCACGGGTGGTCCGAGTGCGACGCGCACGCGGGTCTCGGGAGAGATGCGGCTTCTCAGGGCCTCGTGGGCACGAGCTCTGGAAGCCAAGGTTTGGTCCTTCAAAGCAAGATCATGCTTCCAGCACGCTGCGCGATAGCCAGCAGGAGCTCCATAGGTTTAAGCTCTCTAGGCCCACGACGCTGCGAGTGGCTTCATGTTTACCTGCGGAACGCCTCACGCGATCGAGACGTGTTCGGATGCATTCTGAGTTTGTTCGTGTTTAACGTTCGACGCTATGCCGCACGAGGGTGACGTCGCCTTTTGCCTCTCTTGCTTTCGACGCGCCCCACTTGCTATGCGCGCAGCTGCACTTGCTGCCCGTCGGCCATCAGGCCCTTGCTGCGTCGCGCACCGTGCCACTGCTTCTTCGGCTCGGTGCTCCAGGCACGGTGTGCCTGACGGTACCAACCAGCGCTCGCTCTATTTGGTGCCTTTCCTCCCCCATCCTCTCTCTTCACTCTGGGACTCTACTTGGTGTCCTTCCTCCCCCCCCTTCCTCCCTCGTCCTCACTCTGTTGGACCTTCACTCACCCCGTGCTGCGCAGCGCTCACGTCGACCTGGTTCGCGCGCGCGTGTCACTCCTGGCTGGCCGTGCAGTCGAGAGGCTGCACGTCGCCGCCCGGCGCAACAGCACAGCCTGAGCGGATAGGGTCGACTGTGGCCACCCTCGGACCTCCTGCACCGCACCCGCTTCCCGCACCTCTGGCACGTCGTTTTGTTTCCGCTGGGGGCGAGCTGTTTGCTGCGAGTTGTGCGAGCCCCTCGAGTTTCTTAGTTCCCAGGGCAACATCTGAATGTCTGCCCGTGTGCATACATGCATACATACCTACATTCATGCATACACACATACATGCATGTATGCATGCATACATACATGCATACAAATTCACTTACATACATACATACAAACATACAGACATGCATACACATACATGCATACACATACATACATACATACATACATACATACATACATACATACATACATGCAGGCATACATGCATGCATGCATGCATACATACATACATACATACATACATACATACATACATACATGCATACATGCAGACATACAGGCATACATACATACATGCATGCATGCATGCATGCATGCATGCATGCATGCATGCATACATACATACATACATACATACACACACAACCATACATACGTATATACACACATCTATACCTACATGCACACATGCATTCACCTACCGACCTACCTACCTACATGCATGCATACAGACATACATACATGCACACCAGCATGCATGCAAGTGTGCATGAATGAGTGCATGCATGCATGCGTACATACACACATGCAAGTATTGTTGTGCCACTATGTAATCGTGTCTGTATGTATGTATGTATAGAGATGTATGTGTGTATGTATGTATGATGCATATATGTATGTGTTTATGGTTGTATGCATGTGCGCATGAAAGTATGTATGTGTACATAGATATACATATATACATACGTATGTAGTGCTCCGGAAATCGATGAGGTCGGCCTTTGGAGCCGTATTGATACCATGTGGGGCCGTCGTGAAGCCATATAGGGTCATGTTGAAGCCACATTGGTCCGTCTTGGAGGCATGTTGGGCGAGTTTCGAGACATCTGGGCGCCATCTTGGGACGAACTTGCGACCAACATGGGCCCTGACTTCCCGTTTATTCGACTTGGGTGCTTGAAGGATCCAGCACGCCCGTCGCCCGTTGGGCAGGCGATTGTTCATGGCGACTCCGGAGAACCACAGAGTGCCGCGGTTTCGAAGAGTGTCCTTCGTATCCGATGCCCTATGCGTGGAACGAGTGGCCGCTCACTTATGACTACGAAGGTGCTTTTCCGCCAGATTTTGTTTTCGGTATGGGTGTCGCAGCGTTCCAGATTGAAGGTGCTTACAATGAGGATGGCAAGGGGGCGTCAATCTGGGACACATTTACCGGCACTGATACAGTCGGCATGCCAGGTGCAGATTGTAGTTATTGTTGTAAAAAGGCCCCGTGCCCAATAGGTGAGAACATGATGGCAGTCGGCGGAAATGGCTCGACCGGCGCCGTTGCGGATGACTTCTATCACATGTGGGAGACCGATTTGGCGGTGATGCGGTCGATGGGGTTGAGGGCTTTCCGCTTTAGCATTTCATGGCCACGCGTGATCCCAACAGGGCAAATCCAGGATGGTGTGAACGAAAAGGGCATCAGATTTTATAACAATCTAATCGATGGGCTCCTCGCTGCAAACATCACGCCGTATGTGACGCTGTACCATTGGGATTTGCCACAAGGGCTGGTTGACCCAAAGCGGGGACTCGATGCATGGTGGTCGAATGATTCAAGTGGGGTGCCCACTGGTCAAATAACGGCTGCATTCGGTGACTATGCTGACTTGTGTTTCAGAGAGTTTGGCGACCGGGTCAAGCACTGGTTCACCTTTAACGAGCCGAACCATTTCTTGTACGGAGGTGTCGACGAGGCTCCCAACACGCCCCAGAGCAAGGTGAGGTGGCCCAACGCGTACGTCGCCGCCCACAACGTCCTGACCGCGCACGGCGCGGTGCATCAGCTATACCGTTCGAGGTACAGAGACGAACAGAAGGGCAGCATCGGAATTGTCTTCAACCAGAACTGGTTCGAGCCGAACAGCACCGAACCGAAAGATGTTGCTGCGGCCGAGCGTGCACTCCTTTTTGGGCTGGGATGGTTTGCAGACCCGATCTTCTCCGGTACAGGTGATTACCCGGCACCCATGCGAGCTGTTTTCCGCAGCCAGGGCGTGGATCTGCCGGTCTTCACCCGGGAACAAAGGCAAAACATCAGCTCGAGCGCGGATTTCTTCGCCGTGAACTTCTATTCCAGTAAGTTTGCTGGCGACGCCGATCCGACCTGGGGGTTCATTTCGGGTGTTGCTAGAAGTACCCCTGGCCCAAGGTACCCCCAGGATTCTCGGGGTGGCCCAGACGGCCTCCAGGGCACCCCTCACGAGGCCCAGAGGGCCCCAGGGGCTCAAAATGGAGCGAAAAGCTGGGGGCACCTTGGGCCAGGGGAGGGGCACTTCCAGCAACACCCGATCGTTAACAACGCGGGCGGCTGGCTCACTGCCTTCGCCGACACCGCCTCCTGGACCTTGGAGGAGCGGCCCCCGCCGTGGGGCATGCCTCGGGGGGGGCCCTTGTGGCTCTACTCGGGGCCCTGGGGCCTCCGAAAGCTGCTGAGCTGGATCCACCGGCGGTACGGCGGCCCGCCAATCTACGTCTCCGAGTTCGGCTGGGCCGGCCCTCCCGGAGGCACCACGCTGGAAGAGGAGGCGCTTCACGACAGAGACCGCCTCGCGTATTATGCCAATCACACGTCGGAGATGCGGAAGGCGATCTCCGAGGACGGCGTCGACCTGAAGGGTTTCTTTGCGTGGTCGTACGTCGACAACTTGGAGTGGTCGGCTGGTTACGGAACGCGTTTTGGGACCACCTTCAACGACTACGCAATGGCTCCGACGGGCCAGGCGGGCCCCGTGAAAGGCTTCCCGCAGCCAACACCCGGGCACCAGACGCGACAGCGCAAGGCCTCTTCGTGTTGGCTGGAGGCTGTGTGGCGCTCTGGGGCGATGGTGGACCCCCATGGCGAAAGGTTCCGGGGCTGCGTGAACTCTTCCGTCTTCTCTGGGGCCTATGTGACGGACCTGAACGAAACCGCAAGCATCGTCGTGGCCCCAGAGGCGGGGGGGGCAGGCTACATCACACGTGGTACCAGCCAGATTCGTGCTCAATTCAGCCACGGCCTGATTCTCATGCACTCCAAGGGCTCCAGGATCCCTGGGTACTGGAACCACGCTGAGCGTGCCATTGAGTGGGGCACCGGTGCTCTCTGGAGACAAGTCTGAGTTGAAGGGCTGAACAGTTCAAAATACGCTAGCACATGCATGCATGCATCCATGCAGACATGCATGAGTACATACATTCATATTCAGGGTCGCGCATCTGCTGCAATCTGATATGGGTTGCGCCTCCAGGAACCCGTATTTTATTGCAGTTGTCCATGGATGGTGGCCCTGGATGGGTCAACATGTTATATACTTACATGTCTCTGGGCTCCGAGATGCCGCGCGAAAGGTCGTACAGACTGTTTCGCTTGAGACATCCTCGTAACTCTGGGCTTCGAGATGCCGCGCGCCATGTTGTCCGCCCCGTTTCGCTTGAGACTTCTTCGCAATTCTGGTGTCGGAGATGCGTCGTGCTCATCGCAAGCCGTCTTGGCGCCGTCTTGGAGCTCTCTCGGGCTGTTTGTGGGTCCTCCTGGCCGTGAAGGAGGTCTCCTGCGGCCGTTGCAGCTTGGGCCGTCGATGGGGCCCTCTGGAGCCGTACTGGGCCCTGGCGGCCTCGGTTGCCTGTCTCGGCCGCTTTGGAGGCTCAGGAGCGCGGACGCGCAGGCACTTGCTGTGGGTCGCGGTCTCTCCACAGGGCCTCGGGAGCGGAGGAGGAGGAGGAGGAGGAGGAGGAGGAGGAGGAGGAGGAGGAGGAGGAGGAGGAGGAGGAGGGGGAGGGGGAGGGGGAGGAGGAGGAGAGGGCAGAGGAGGAGAGGGAGGAGGAGGAGGAGGAGGGGGCGATCGTTTCTTGCAAGGGGCCGTGGCCTCGGGGGCGCGGATCTGCGTCTTTCTACTCGGGCCTGTCCCTCTGCAGGACGAAAATTCAGGAATGGTCAAACAATAGTCTGGGGACGATATTTCGAGTATTTCTGAGCATGCTTGGCCATTCGGGGGGATTGTCAATCTTTCCTCAAACATCTGCCTGCAGGGGGACACGCCCGACCCAAGAGCAGGCCTGGTGAGGGCGAGGAGTGGCCTCAGAAGACCTGCAGAACCGAAGTCCGGCAGCCTTTGGCGGCGCTCTTGCCACACCGCGACGTGCCCCAGAGCACGGGGGCGGATGCTTGCGAGCCGCGGGTGGAGGGTTTCTCCGAAGGACTTAGGCGACCCGTCCTCCTCCTCCTCCTCCTCCTCCTCCTCCTCCTCCTCCTCCTCCTCCTCCTACTCCTCCTCCCCCTCCCCCCCCTCCTCCATCTACTCCCCTCCCCCTCCTCCTCCTCCTCCCCCTCCTCCTCCTCCTCCTCTCCTCCTCCTCCTCCGCCTCCTCCTCCTGCTCCTCCTCCTCGGGTCGCCTACAGCCCCGAGGAAACGTGCAGCCGCGGGAAGGGTGTCGGCATTGGTTTAGTTAGGGCCGCAGTACAGCTGTTCCAAAGCAGAGTTCCCCTCGGGGAACTGTTTTTGATTCGTTGTTTTGCCGATCGGCGCGGGCCCTCGCCCCCCCCCCCACCCCATTTGTTTTCAGGCAGGTGGAGTCTCTCCCCACAGGACGCCCTGTCGCAAACAGTCGCACTAAGCAGAGGTCCGCAGCCAGACCCCCCCCTCACCCCCCCTTCCGCCTTTGTCGAAACGCCGAATAAGAAAACGCGAACCACGGGGAACGTTCCGTTTGAGGCCGTCTTGCGGCCATCTTTGGCGTTTTGGAGCGCTCGGGGGCTGTCTTTGAGGCCTCTTGGGCCCTCTCGAGCGCTTTCTGGGGCCCCCATTGGCCCGTCTGAGGGCCCTCTCTGGCTTCTGGAAACGTCACGCGGGGCAGCCCAAGAACGCGCGGGAGCGCCCGGAAGTTGGAGAATGTTGGGCCCGACTCCTCCAGAGTATCCCAATCCCCCCCGTCCTGGCCACGAGCCGGCCTGGGCGGAGAGACCCGCGCGCGGACGCTCCACGAGAGGGGGCGGCGCCGCCCTGCGGGCGGGGCCCACGGAGGCCGCAGGGTGGAGCTCCACGGGGCGCACGGGGCGCGCGAGGAGTGGGCGGCCGCGCCTCGCGGGCGACGCCCACCCAGACCCCCTCGCGTCGCGAAACAAAAATCACGACGAGAGGTGTTTCGCATGCTTCTGCCCCCGGGGGGCCCTTACCGGGCCCCGGGGCCGTCAGCGAAGACAGCTCGGGATGAAGAACTCTGGGGGTCCGCGTCATGAGAAATTTGCCACTTCGGGGGTCTGGGGCAGGTGGAGCTCCCTAATTAGATCACCGAGCGCGTTCCACTACTCGCAGAGTGCCTACTCGCAAACGTTAGAAAAAAACACATGTCTGCTCTGATGTAATGCATCGAAGATCCCCCGCGGCGGATCTGGGCCATCTGCGAGCAGGTACCTTGCGAGTCGTTGAACGCGCTTGTCCACTAGAGCGCGCGAGGTGTGAGGGCTGTGCCCAGATGGGGGCACGAAGCGCGTGGGGGGAGCGTGCAGTCACCACGCCACGCCGTCCGCCCGCACGGCCGCTTGAGGCCAGCGGGCCGGTCGGCAGCTCCACTGCCAGCACTAGGATGCCGGGGCAACGGCAGGAGTTGAGCAGTGGCGGAGCGTCCTGGCCCGCCTATAGTCCTACCAAGCAATTTTCTACGTGTGTTATGTGGTTTCCACGAAATGTTCTGAGAACATTTCTGGCCGAGACTGTCTTGTTTTATCACATCGGGTTCATGCTCAAAGAACATTGCTGTTGTTCTTGGAACATTTCTGGGTTCTAAGAACATGTCGTAGTGGACCTATAGAAATGCCGGGACGGTCAGTCCCTGCTCAAAGGGGGGGATGCATCGACCCCAAATCGCCCATTGATCGCCGATAGGGGCCTGATAGCCCCAGCCTGCAGAGGGAGGTGCGGATTCACTATGGGGGGCCCCATCGCCGATGCATCGGCGATGCATCGCCGATTCCAGGTCGATGCACCCCCCCCTATGCCAGTCCCCCCCCCCCCCATCGTTACCCACCAAGGATGCACCACATGGGAAAGCGACCCTGGCCAGCCCCCCTGGCCCCTCGTCCTGTCAGGACCCAGGGAGGAGGGGGGGGGGGGCCGCAGAGCAGAGGGCGGGGGGCAGAAGGGGAGAGCGGGGCGGGAGAGGGGAGAGGGGGCAAGCAAAAAGAGGAGCAGGAGCAGGGAGAGGAGGGGGGGAAGGAGGGGAGAGGAAGGGGAGCCCGACCAGAGGGGGACAGGGGGGGCCAGCCAGGGAAAGAGTGAGAACGACGTGTCTCGATCGAGCACATCATCCCAACACACTCCAGTATCTAGTCGCTCGAAGCAGACACCAGTTGGACACGGGTTGTCCTACACGACACCCGAGCGAGGCCAGGGAGTTGGCCCCAAGGAGGGTGGCCGCACCAGCGGCGAGTACCACACTCAGCTGTCCCGCTCGGTACACTTAGGCACACCGACCCCCAATGGCAAGTGGGGCCGACCGACCAAGTAGACGATCCCAGGGAATTCTTGTCTGCTTGCTGACTCTGCTACCGTTGCGGTTGGCTCTGGCGCTGCGTCCGTTGTCCCGGTATCCTACATCCTTTCCGTCCTCTCAGCGGACAAGTCGCTTCAGTTGAAGCCCGCGTGGCCGAGTCGGAATTGGCAAGGGGGGTCGGAGGTGGGAGCGTCGGTGCAAAGCATGGTTTCGCAAACTGTTGCATCCCCCACGGCCTTCGAACGTCGCTGGCTGCCTCACCTTCCTCCTGCCCGATCTCTCTCGCGCTGCCGCTTTCATATCATCTTCTCTACGGCAGGTTCGCGTCGGGCCGACGCGGCTGCGACCCCGCCGCGGGCGCTCAAAGTTGAAAACCGCCGGTGGCCCAGAATAGAGAATAGGCATATTCGGAAAAATCTGGCGATCGAGATGGAGCCGACCGTCCAAGGTTGAACAATCCACGCGGTTTCAGAAATGACTGCCTGGGTCGTCGCGATACGAATTTGCCATGCAACGTAGCTGGTAAGGGTCATGCGATACGTGTATGGGGGAGGCAGCAGTCGTCAGTGTGGACGGAGGAGGCAGGCAGTTCGAACACAGGGAAGGGGGAGAGCTAGAACACTCGACCTGCAAGAGAAGCATCGAATGATGATACAGAGTGCCCGATTTGCCAGATCCACTTTACCACGAAGATCTACCACTGTAACGTCAATTCGAACGGCGCTATCTGCCTAGACATCTTGAAAGATCAGTGGAGCCCTGCTCTGACGATCTCGAAGGCGAGGGGTCGCCGAATTGTATCCCTCAGCCTCTCTCTCTCTCTCTCTCTTTCTGTCTCTCTCTGTATATATATATATATATGTATGTGTATATCTCGCTCTCTCTCTCTCTCTGTGCTTCTCTCTCTATATATATATATATATATATATCACTATCTCTCTATCTCTCTCTACATATATATATAT